TCTATCTCTCTCTCTCTATCTCTCTCTCTCTCTCTCTCTCTCTCACTGTTTTTCTATGTCTTTCTCTATTTTTCTCTATTTCTCTCTTATCGAACTGTCAACATTGTTAAAGATAATATTTGGTGCAGACCTATGTAACGTTTGTGGTAAAATGTTTGAAAATTTTTTCATAATAGCTACCTTTTTAAAATGAATGTACTATCACCTATGTTTATGAATGTACTAATATCTATGTTCATGAATACACTACCTACGTCTATGTTCATGGGGGTGCTGTTGTTTTTGAAATGCACACTGTATTGTTTCCTTCTTCCCTACAGCTAGGATGTTATAGCAGGTCACAATGGGGCCTATCATCGTTATTATCCTCACATTGTACTTAACTTGTCCATCTGCATTATTGCTACACTGAAAATACATACCATATTCAAGCCTCCTATCCCATATATTATATATCAACCTTTTTTCATACTTTCTTCTGTATTTTTGTGTGTGGGTTGCACAGGGAGACCGAGCGTCTCGACATTATTGCAGCCCCCAATTTGTTGCACTGTTTCTCTTGCTAACTGAAGAACAAAAGCGACACGATTAAAGAGATTTTTGGTCACTGTCATTTTTTTACGTGGCACTAGCACTCGGTAATTCGGAATGTTCTTGCTGATCAAGTGCCTTTCTTTAAGTGCGGTGCTCTGCTTTAATCTTCTTTCAATATTTACTTTTGATATAATATTATATATTTATATATATTATGCTTGTAAATATTAATGCATGTTTTAAGAAAAATCTTCCTATAGGTGGGGATGGGTTAGGGGACACAGTTAAAGGGTAAAGGAACATTACTGAGTGAATGTTATGGATGTTTGTGTGATCAAGCCACTTTTGGGGGGAAAAGGAGGGAGGGAGGGGGGATTGTTTGAATAACGAGAAGCACATTGATATGATAATGGTCATTTTGTGCCAGGGGAAAATAAGAGACAGACAGGAAGAACAAAATGGTGTATGAAAAAGCAGGACGGACAGAAGGATGCTAAAGGTGTAGACAGAGTAGAGTCACCTTTCTGGAGCTTGCCCCAAACATCTCCACTCCTCTTTTGGGGAGAGCAAGGGGAGAGGAAAGTCGGCGACAGAGTGAAGGCCTCTCCCCTCCCCCGACGTCCCCTATAAAGGAGTGGCATCTTCACTCTTTTGAATTAGTGTTCGTGATTATTACTACATTTTCTCAATGTAAAAATATTTTCGAGGCTGGCCTAGCCCTGTCTGTGCAAGATGGATGAAGAAATATAATGGTTTTGTACTGGTTGAGAAAATGAAGGCTGAACAGACGCCGTTACTGGGTTCACAAAATATAACAGCATCGTAGTAAAGTATAGTAAATATCATCATTTAATAGAGCAAGTCCTTTCAGAAAAAGAAAAATGTCTGTCATATATAAGGATGACACCTTCTATGTTTCAACATCTTTTAAATCGTGTGCAAGTGAGTAGACACACCGAATGGGGTTTTTTGGTGACTGAAGGTGCGTTAAAATTCAGTCGCCAACCTTTTTGGGGGCTTGTAGGGGACTCGCCTCAAAAAGGAGAGGTGAGAGGTTGGCGACTCTACTCTGACGCTCACTAAACTTTTCCTGTAAATTAAACCTGCCGCTCCCTGAATTGGGGCCAGATAGGAAAAAGGTGCGGGGAAGGTGAGTCCACTCTACACGTTTAAAACGTATAGTATGGCTTCGCAGCTCTCTTTGCAAGTGAGAGACTGATGGATTTCTTGTGAAAAGGGTTGGTTCTTATCCTGCTTTTGAAGTTTACCATTATTATGGGGGGCCTACTGCTACAATGATAATATTACTTAAAACATGTGGGTTTTCGTTGAACGAAATTGTCTTCACTGAATAATGAACAAAATGCTGAGATTAAGAAATGTTATTTATTTTGCTCAGTCAATTTTATTTTGTGGATATCCATTTGCATGATGAATGAGAATACACTGTATCCTGTTACTGATAGTTTTCTGAGACAAAAGTAGTCTAAATATAAAACATATTTTGCTTTACACAGTCTAGTCATAATCAACTTCTTTTCTTAAGGAAAAAGTAAATTCATCTGACTGAAGCCTAGAACTTCATCTGACACTGAAGAAGTTGTCATTTTTAACTCCTTTCTTGGATCCTAGCTAAAGTTGTAATCTAGAGAAATTAGTAGCTACTGGGTTTTCTGAGGAACCCCGCCCCCCCTCCCCCAACTCACTCGATAGCCTATTCTTTCCAAGGTGTAATTTAATTTTTCCAAGAAGTATAAATGGAATAGGACTTCCCTAAGGCTGATGGAGGTAAAGGTATTTTTGCTTCAGTCGTTAATCTGAGGCACCTTATAATCTGTGTATATACAGAAAAAGAGCATTTAAGTTTTATGTTTCGTTGTGTTCGTTTCAGTTCGTATTAATAAAAAAAAAAATGGAACAACCTGAAATAGAAGCAGATTGTTTGCTGTTTTATTCATCTTTATTGTGCAGGTTCCTGAGTGCGTTTTGTTTGTTGTTTTTATTCCAGTGCGTGCTGTTACTCTTGCCGTGGTCACGTGGCTGGCTCAGCAGAGTCAGAAGGGTCTAACTGCAACTATATAATGCATAGCATATAAATAGAACCCTTCGACTCTTCGGCTGGCAAACCACTTGAGGAGTTTTCTGTTTTGTTCCATCTTGTACCAGTGCAATAGTAGATACTGACTCGTAGTTGTGTCGCTAGTTTTGTAGGACGTAGACCCACGCGATTCTTCATTCCATGCTCCTCCTGGGATTGTACCCTTGTGAGTATCATCTTTAGATTTGTAAAGACAAATGCTGGGTATTTACTTCGATGATTATGTCATTATTATAATTATTATTATTATTATTATTATAATATATATCTGTGTTGTATGAAAGAAAAATATGTGAAAATCATACCCCCTACGTATGTTAATCTGTGCCCTTGAGAATAATAGTGTTTTATATTCACTTCTGGTAAAAACTGAGTCTGGGTCATGGCGACCAAGCATCCAAGCTCTGTCACATCTCTTAGTCAAAAACAAAGGTTTAAGAGTCAGGACCAAATATACCAAAGTCCCCCATTCCTTTCAAACACCTATCATCTGTATTTCTCCTCCTCTTTTCTTCATAATTATTTACCCTCTAGTAATACCTCTGCCTGTAATCTTCCACGCTTATATCATGACCTATTTGCGGAACAAGTTCTGTAAAACTTGTGATAAAACGGTTCCAAATTTTCATTCATGATTCTAATTTATTTGGAAAAAAGAAAAACTCAATATTTCTCAAACAAAGCTGCTCTACGAAGTGGGGACCGACCACTCTTATTCTCATGGGCACCACCACTTATCTTAACCCTATGTGCTGCAGTAGCTGTGGAATCTGAGTACTGCAAGGCCAGTTATTATCTCTTAATCTAACTGTAAACACTCAATACTGTAAACTTAACCCCTGGGTGGAGGTGACCTCTATGCTCTCTTGTACACAATCTACAAGACCTTGTTGATACATGGCAATAAAGTTTCACATTACTGAGCCACCTGCGTTCTGGTTGCTACATTTTGATTGGCAAGAGTCTTGTATCATTGTACTGTCTTTGTTTTTAACTAATATTAATTTGCCCTACCGCCAGTGAACTGACTGCCAGAGGTACCCACTGCACATGGCGAACAACACCCACTGGTTGGCTGCTTGATAATCTTTCTCCCAGAAGAAAAACACACACACACACATATATACATATATATATATATAGATAGATAGATAGATAGATAGATAGATAGATAGATAGATAGATAGATAGATAGAGAGAGAGAGAGAGAGAGAGAGAGATAGATAGATAGATAGAGAGAGAGAGAGAGAGATCTGAATACATTTGCATGTACATGTATCACCAACAAAAGACGCTTTTCAAACACAGATCGTACAGCAAATTGGGTTCCTTAACACTGGGTAGTTGGGGCTATACAACAGAGGAACCCCGTTTAACCATTAGCTCTGCTGTTCCGCCAGTTCATGCTTGTCCCAAGGTTGGAAGTATAACAACGGGGTCTCACTGTAAACACCCCCCCCCCCCCCCACACACACACACCTCAGCAAATAGTTTATTTTAAAAAATTGTTGTATGCCAACACACAGTCTCCCATACTGAAAAAAGCTCAAAAACAGAACACATAATCTTTATATCTTTATTACAATCTTTACACAATAGAATAACTGCAGTATTTTTTTCAAAAACATCACCCGTTCCAACATACATGTAAAAAAAAAAATCAGACTAAAAGTGAATATATGAAAATGTCAGTTCATAACTTCACAACAAGCATCCACAATAATGCATACATTTTTCACAATTGAAAATCACAAAAAAGAGTTCAACCCTGCAGCAACAGTTGTATGTGTCACCACAAGCTAGATTCAGGAGCTCGTCAATTTGGGGGCAATTGGAGTGATTTGTATCAGTTTAAAGCTTGTTCAGTTGCCTTGCTTTTGATGAAAAAAGTACCCATCTATCTTAAATAGAAGTTGAGATATTTGCGATTGAAGGAGGTAGGGAACGCTGGTTTCAGAGTCAAGGTAAAATTAGCGAGAAAATGGCTGAGTCAGACAAAGTTTTGTGACTTTCATAGCTTGAAAATCCATGGAAACTGAAAATTTAAATTATTTTTAGCCCTTTACTAGCTTTCTTCAGTAAAATCTATGCAGAAATGTTTTTAAATGGACTTTAAAAGTACAGAGCCATAAAACAAAAATTCAATTAAAATTGCCATACCGGTAAAAAATGCCTGAGTCTTCGATTTTATTAATTTGACGAGTGGTTGATTTCACCACAATGCCTCACATACTCACATTAGTATGCGCTTGGTTAGAAGGTGCTACTGGTAGGACACATACTCATGTAGTCCTCTCTGTACATTTAAAGTCTACACATTAGTATGTGTCTGGTTAGAAGGTGCTACTGGTAGGTCCCACTTCTTTTCTTTCCATCTGCTGTTTTTGTCTGTCTTTCCTACTTTTTTGGCCTGCATAAAATGATCCTTATTATGTCGACATGCTTCTCTTTACTTAAAACTCAGAAGCTGCTGAGGAAATATTGATTCTGATTAAAATGAACCTGTTCTTCATGAGACAAAATTCTTTTTGTCAAAACTCATGTCTTGTGCCTGCAGTAGCAAAGAGCCCATCAGTTACAACACAGACACCAGTCATAACTGGTTCTGAAACTGAAACAGCTGCATTGGGCCATAAGGAACCAGACATTTCAAGAACACACAAACAACACATTCTAAAAATCTATCCTTGTTGAGGGGGAAGTTTCAGGAAAACATTGAGAATGCACCAGCAATAAAATCCACAGCTTTTGTGTGGAAAGATAGAAATTAGATATACAAATTAGAAATTTCCAATAGGAAACATTACTACCCTTTCCCTTAACCGCAAAAGAAAATCACACATCGCTGACAAATCCTGAAAAATTAAAATTTTCAGTAGGTTCCGTCTCATATTTCCTTCTTTCACATAAAAGACATTCGACTGAACACAGCTATTACAGACTCAAGAGTGCAACAGGATGAGCATCTGGAACCTCTTCATTCCCATGAAAGGAATGGAAAGGCAGGAACATAGCTACTTCAGCACACGTTCTTTATACACATAATTGTTCTGTGCGTAGAAGGTTAACATCAGTGCATGCTCAGGCAATGTGTTTGACTCTACAGGGTTAACAGGTAAATCTTCCTGTTGGCATTTTGTTTCCTTTGCTTTGGGCATCAATTAATTCAATATCAAGTCGCCAATATCACATACACTCACTCATTCTCCACGACACCTGCACTCATTCACAAGACGAGTTGTAACGACATCATATACCGGTAAACTAAAGGGCATTCAAAGTTTCTGTATGTAAAGGAAATAAAAGCAAGTCTTTCCAAAATAGTACCCCATGCTTTAACAGGACATTTGTATCTACCCGAGTATGGGAGTGGCGTGGAAGCAAATATTTCTTCACGACCTACTTATTCATGTGCTTACTTTTATGAAATTAAAAATGTGCACCACACAACTGACATTAGTCTGAAAATAATTGAACCTAACCTCTGCTCGCCTCAAAGGGCACTCTTGAAATAAAAAGTCTGGATTCAGCCCACAATGGAGCTATCAGTTCTCCCCATTGTATAGATATTTCACCACCACCACAAACTTCTTTACTTCCCTCCCTCTGTAGTTTCTGACTTACCTTGTCCCTGGACTAAATTACCATTATTGTGCCCATGTGCTTCTCTTTACTCAAACAAACAAACCAACATACAGCACAGACACCACACCTCAGACCTAGAACAAAGCAGATAACCTTTGTTCTTCTTCTGGGGTCATATGTAAAACAGACATCGGTGACCATGGTTTGTCACTCATTTCTCTACATGAATGCTCTCTCTCAAATATCTATATTGACTGAGTTTTTTCCGATCACTTCTCCATGTTCTCTGAATAAGTTGTTCTTGATCTACTTCTGCCTGTCTTGCCTTCTATTTTCTCCCCGAACACAAATAATGCTCGTCAAAATGCTTCAATTTGAACTTCAATGTTCAATGGTCCAAGATAGCTGTTGGTTATACCTCAGCCATCACAAAGTGTTGATTTCACCAATGATGTTCACTTTCCGGTCATTATACTTCTTCGAGATCTCCGCTTCAAGCTGGAAATTTTAAAAAAATAAAAAAATAAAATCAGTACAAAAGAGAGTAATAAAACAGTACACAATTGGTAATAAAATGACAGAACATCATCACAAAATCACAGACAGGAAAAAAAAAAAGACAAGACCACAAAAGCAAAATAGACGGGGAAAAAAAATGGACTACATTTTTTACCCTTATACGAAGCACAGTTTGACAGTGACACCTGTAACAGTGTCCCCGGAGAAAGTTGGGTTTGAAAATAGCAAAAGTTGAAAGAAAAGTTGCAAGACGTGTAAATCTATCCCTAAAAAATGTCACGTAATTATTGGAATACATTGTTTGTATGCTCATTGCAATCAAAGTAACCAAAATGAGTTTTGTTGGATCAAAATCAAAAGTAAATGTGAATGTCTACAAACAAAACAAAACTGCAGGGAGGTTGCATGGAGTACAAAACAGTTTGTCCGCTGACACATGCGTCAGGTCCTAAAACTCCCGCTGACGTTGGGCACGTGTGACCAGCATGATATAGGGATTTTATTAACGAACCGCTCCCTGTCTAGATCTACCCTCCTATCCTATGAGGATGGGATCAGATCAGGTTGGGGGTAATTGCCCCACTTGTCGTCTGCAAACAGGATCATTGGGGGATCAGATAGGGTTGGGTCGGATTGCTAGCCAGATTGAGGGCGCATCAGGCTGGTACGAATAGCCCCTTTGGTGTCGTTATTATTTAGTTGTGGAAGAAAGTTACGGTTATTTTTAACAAAATTTTATTATTTCCCAAACTTTTGCGGAAAATTGGCTAAAATTCGTGAACTCACGAAAATGGCAAAAATTGCATTAAGGGCAAAAGTTGCGGGATGCAGGCGCGAATTTCTCTGAGCACAGAGTGAAGGTCTGGCGTCAACTCAGAGGGTATCGTATTCAACTGCAGTGTAGAAGGCCTAAGTTCACAAACTTGTGTTGTTTTATAGGTATCACAGCTGTCTACTTACTTCGCTGTGTGTTTTAACTCTTTCAAGCCCAATGTACACTCACATACCACATATTTTTCCTTCACTAATTTTCTTTACCAAAATGGTAGAGTGACATAAAATTGGCAGTAAACAGGAGAAATAGTCATATAGCCAACCTTTAAAAAGAATATGTGGTAAGAGCTTCACTTGATTAATTCAGAAATAGTTTATATTTGCCCCCCCCACCCTCATGTCTCCTCTCAAAACCCCCGCCCCCTAAATCTGCTTTTGCCCCTCACCCTTCTAGATTCCTCACCCCTTGACCAGTCCTCACCTGTGTCTTGAGCACCTTGGTCTGTTTCCTCAGAGCATCCAGCTGTGGCTTCAGCCCCTCCTCTTCCTCCACAGCCTCGTGTCTCACGGCCACCGTCTCTCGCTCGCTCAAAGCCATCTTGTCGGCTATGATGAGTTTCTGTCGCAGCGAGTCCCGCAGCCGGTCAACATACCTGCAAGACAGGAGTTTAAGTTTAGTTTTAGTAGAGGTTTTACGGCGCTTACAACTGCATAAGGTCATATGAGCGCCAGAAGATTAGAGGTGTTACAAGAGAGTAACAAACATAAAAAAGGAGGGGAGATAAGGACGATAGATGTTTGATAGGAAAGAAGAAGCAAACCACACCAGAGCACCAGCCAACCACCCACTAACGGTCTTGGACCGCTGGCTTCTATTTTGAATATAAGTAATGAGAAGGGCATCGACATAGGTTCTAAGTTTGTGTTTGAGTAAAGAAAATCACATCAACACAAAAGAGTCATTTACAACAAGGTTTGAATTTGAATACAGATAAGGCATTAGTCAAGGTAGTAACTTCACTGAGAAAATGAGGAGCAAACCACACCACAGCACCCACCAACCACCCGGCCAGCGCTAAAACTCAACATGAAAATCAACGTACCTCGGGGAGTCTCTGATCAGCATAAGATGTTGCATCTGGACAGAGGTCAGCTGATCTAGAATGTCCTTGACCTGCGTCAGCATGGACGTGACTTTGTCAGCATCGATGTGAACCTCGGAGGGGGCAGAGGCCAGATGGTTGGCATCTGTGTTGCCATGAGACATCTCGTTGCTCCGTTGAGAGAGGAAGGCTTGGAGCTGGGGAGGGACGAGAGGGATAATTATAACAAGGAATCGCGAGAGCACAGCGAGGGGGCAAGGTGAGGGGCAGAGATATTAGATGACTGGTACCAAGGTGAAATCAGGCGCTTGCCAAAATTATGAAATCAAAGAAACCAATACAGTAGAACATGACTACAGCGGTACCCACTACAGTGGGACCATCCCTACAGCGGGACCTTACCAGGATCCCTCTTTTTTTTGGTCTACGTACACCCAATACCTGTGCTCGGGTTTAGCAGGGCAAGGAAAGGCCCGAACTCGGATACAGTGGAAGAGATCGAGCAAGCTCTAGCTGAAAGAAAGGGGGTTGGGGGGGCTACAGGTGGGCTCCAAACAGGCAGTCAGCGGTGCAGCGAATAACCAGACAAGTTACAAAGTCTGTTCTTTTTTCAGTCTCAAGAGCAGAAATGTGTGCTTTGGGTGCATTAAATGATACTCGTAATTACCATAAATACAAGGATACACTACATTGAAAAGTACGAAAACTAAGTCGGCCCAGACAAAGCGTCAACAGAGAGATGACCCCCATGACCCCGGCGTGATAAAGCTTTCAGCGGGAACCCCCCGCTGCAACTAAAATTCCACTGCCGGTGCGCCACGGCTAGACTCTTTGTCACTGTATGCAGATGACAACAGTTTGATTCCCTAGGGGGCAGATGCTATTTTATTGAGTAGATCTTTCTGTGTCTGCTGGGATTGTGTATTAGCGCATCTCACCCAAACCAGGTTGGCCTTGAAAGGCAGGCTTGAAATGACACACCTCCAACATGATTTAAATTGTTAATATTCATTTACCATCCCTTACCTCGAGCAGGTCGTCAATGAAAACATTCCTGGTCTCGGGGTTGTCGATAATACTGAGGGCGTCCTTGCCTGTGGCAGTGTCGGAAGAACCTGTCTCAGCCGATGAACCAGCCCCAGGGGTGGTGACATCATCCACCGCTCCCCAGTCGATTGCGTCAATGTCAGGGTTCTCCAGGACCACCTGTGGGGAGTTGAGGTAGAAAATAAATGACGGGATGTGTTTATACGGACGGCCCTTCAAACACAAGGTAGGTTATTCAGGAGTAGAACCCTCAGAACTTGGGCAAGCTATTACCTCAGTTGCTGTCATGGTGAGCTGTAGTCAGGTTCAAATCCTCAAGGGGGGGGAAAGAGGGTTCTTGAAGTTTCATTGTGGGGGTGGAATTTTCAAGGCTCTTAACATACTTGAAAAGATCCAGTAGAAGGTATGCATTAAATTTGGACGTCATATTATCGTAACGTAGAAAAGAGATTTTAACATATGCAATCAGGCAAACATCATGAAGATTATACCCTGCTGCTTCCGATTCCTGACAAAGAAAGCTTGACCCAAGACATTGCATACTAGATTAGACAATTCAAAATGTGAAGCTGTACTTCACTTTAACCAATGAACAAGCCTCTTACCAATACAATGTCTACCATAAACTTCAAACAGACCCAGTTAGGATCTCTACAACCCAAGCCCATAACATATGGAAACCAAAAAGGCAGTGGTAAGCGGAGGTAACTAACTAACCTCTCCATCGGCCGCCAAAACTCCCCCACTTTCTACCGTGATGTCGCCGATGTCAAAGTCTATCGAGTCCCCAAAATCGATGGCTTCAGCTCCGTCTTGTCCACCCCAGTCTATATCTTCGGGACCTGTGGAAACAGAGGAGTGTTAAGTGATTTGGTGACTGGCAATGTCTTTTGATGAAATCAGACCAAACTGAAGTGTTACAAGTGTATGCAAAGTGACTTGCTACATCTTTGAGGATTTCAAACAGCTCAATCGTTCGCCATTTTCTTACCAATATTTATAAATATATGCTTAGTCTACCCATTTTCCTGTTGTTAAACACAACTGATGCTGAAAAGACAAATTCTGTACTGCACTAACCAAACTGAGCTAATTGCCCCATTAAACAAACACACAACATGATAACTAATTCAGTCCACCATATCAGCTTACAGTTATTAATCACCACCTGAACAAGCTATCAGCCCAACATACCACCTTACACCCCCCCCCCCTCCTCACCTCCAGCCCCTACTTCCTGTTCGTCTGACAGATCAATGCTGATGTCCTGGTCCTCCACATGACTCGGCACACGTCCTGTCTTCCACTCAAACGTGGTTGTGTTGCCTCGGGACAGGATATGCTTCAACAGGAGCAGGTTAGAATCTGAGACTTTCTCGCTGAAGATACAAACAAAAAAAGCTTCGATTAGATATATATATACATATACATCCTACACAAAACTGAGATTTTCTCACAGAGAATCAAGATAGTATAAGTGTCGATACCAAACTCATTGATATCCTTCGACTTCCTGTCCCCCCCACCCCCTCCTAAAGAAATAGAGGAGCCTACAGAAAGAGCAGAGAGCTGTGTAAAACAAAGAACCATGTACTTTATACTCTTATGGGACAAAACTTCTTAAGACTACCATGTACGCTTCACATTTTTACTCAGATATGCACATAAGAACCTACATTTTTGGGGGTGCCTTTTTAAAGTATTTTCATTTATTCATATATATCTTTTAAAAAACTGACACTTTTTAACAACTCCTAAGCATAGTCTACACAAACTGATCAGTACCTTCTAAAGTGTTCATACAAGCAATGTAACACGACAGCACAGAGCCACCAAAGTACTTTTGCGGAAACGATGTTGGTATCTTTTTAAAAAAAAAAATAAGCTAGAACTACATTTTACCACAAAGAAAGGGGAAACTTACTCATTGATGACAAACTTTGTGAAACTGTCATAAAACTGTACAGCATCATTGAGAGATCTCGCCGACTCAGCAAATTTGCTCAGCTCTTTGGGTAGATCTTTGACAAGGCCAGCCAGCTCTGTCTTGATCTTCACACCCTGTGAAACCATAACATTCATTATAAAAGACAATTGCAACTGCAAATGTTTCACACGTCTGCTGATAAAAATTTACATAATTCAGAAGGCTAGCTGCTTCAATCTTGCCTTTCAAGGCCTACCAGAGGTGAGTGAGATGAAACATCCCGGCAGAACACAACATTATGAGACACCCCCCCCGACTCTGGTAAATGGTGGATGGCATATTTGTTGATGCTGGTTACAAACTGAGGGTTTTGATTTGCCTTGTCAATACAGTATTTAATACACTGGTCTCATTAAGTGGAGCAACTGGGCTTTTCAGCCTTTGTCTTCATCTTCAAGCTGCTTCATATCCCCCACATGTATTAACTCTTTCAGTACCATCGGTGACTCCAGTCGCCAGGCCGTAGTATGTGCTCACTTCCACTAAACATAATTAAACAATGAATGGACGCACTGCAGTGAAGTAAATACCTAAGGAAGTCATTTTGTATGACAGCTGAATGGTGTTCATGAACCTCTATGAATTTTTTGAAATGTTTCTTGAGCTGTCAAGGTTTTTTAATTAACAAAAAAATTCTACCACGGCTACAGCTTTCTAAACTGGTGCGGTACTTGAGGGTTTTTCGCCATATGAGTCTGCGGTACTGTAAGTGTTAAACAAAGACCCTGCCGTGGATACTGACTTGCCGGACCACAGTTGATAATTTCGAAATTTTTCATTGGCTGGTGAAGCAAAATTCCTGGCTAAGCCATTGAACACTTGCATTTAGGAACTTTTAGCTCTAAAAAAAGGGATTTTAATATCAGATGACATTGCGAAAAATGGTATTTAGGCACATCTCTCTTCCAATATTTTTGAGGGGTTTCAGAAGGGAGTCAACTCGGTTAAATGGTTCGGAAGGTTTGAAAATAGACAGATGCACTAGGGTACTCTTTCCACTCAGCCCTTCACTTTGTCACTACTGTCAAATAAAACAGACAAAAAATAAAAGGACAAAATAAAACAAAACAACAAAAAGCATCATTTCTATACCCCAGTGCTGCTGAATGACCTGACTGACCTCAATACCAATCTGCTGACAAGAACTGGTATACTGTTTGCGGAGATCAGCTGCACTGGCAGTGTACTCATTCTCCTTCCTCAGGCAATCCTGTTAAGGGGGAGGGGGGGGGGGGGAAAACATA